GTGTGTGTGTGTACCATGATGACCACAGGTGTGTGTGTACCATGATCACCACAGGTGTGTGTGTACCATGATGACCACAGGTGTGTGTGTGTGTGTACCATGATGACCACAGGTGTGTGTGTACCATCATCACCACAGGTGTGTGTGTACCATGATGATCACAGGTGTGTGTGTGTGTACCATGATGACCACAGGTGTGTGTGTACCATGATGACCACAGGTGTGTGTGTGTGTGTGTACCATGATGACCACAGGTGTGTGTGTGTGTGTGTACCATGATGACCACAGGTGTGTGTGTGTACCATGATGACCACAGGTGTGTGTGTGTACCATGATGACCACAGGTGTGTGTGTGTACCATGATCACCACAGGTGTGTGTGTGTGTACCATGATGACCACAGGTGTGTGTGTGTGTGTGTACCATGATGACCACAGGTGTGTGTGTACCATGATGACCACAGGTGTGTGTGTGTGTGTACCATGATGACCACAGGTGTGTGTGTGTGTGTACCATGATGACCACAGGTGTGTGTGTGTGTGTACCATGATGACCACAGGTGTGTGTGTGTGTGTGTGTGTACCATGATGACCACAGGTGTGTGTGTACCATGATCACCACAGGTGTGTGTGTACCATGATGACCACAGGTGTGTGTGTGTGTGTGTACCATGATGACCACAGGTGTGTGTGTACCATCATCACCACAGGTGTGTGTGTACCATGATGATCACAGGTGTGTGTGTGTGTACCATGATGACCACAGGTGTGTGTGTACCATGATGACCACAGGTGTGTGTGTACCATGATGACCACAGGTGTGTGTGTGTGTGTGTACCATGATGACCACAGGTGTGTGTGTGTGTGTGTGTGTACCATGATGACCACAGGTGTGTGTGTGTGTGTGTGTACCATGATGACCACAGGTGTGTGTGTACCATGATGACCACAGGTGTGTGTGTACCATGATGACCACAGGTGTGTGTGTGTGTGTGTAACATGATGACCACAGGTGTGTGTGTGTGTGTGTACCATGATGACCACAGGTGTGTGTGTACCATGATGACCACAGGTGTGTGTGTACCATGATGACCACAGGTGTGTGTGTGTGTACCATGATGACCACAGGTGTGTGTGTGTGTGTGTACCATGATGACCACAGGTGTGTGTGTACCATGATGACCACAGGTGTGTGTGTACCATGATGACCACAGGTGTGTGTGTACTATGATGACCACAGGTGTGTGTGAGTGTGTACCATGATGACCACAGGTGTGTGTGTGTACCATGATCACCACAGGTGTGTGTGTGTGTACCATGATCACCACAGGTGTGTGTGTGTGTGTACCATGATCACCACAGGTGTGGCAGCTCACCAACCAACACCAGACAAGGTAGAGTACGCCAGAGTCGCAGCCTGGGGGGGGCAGGGCTCCCTAAATACATTAAGAGCCACTTGTGCCAGCCGTCTCGGGGCTCCTCCCTCACACCAACCACGCCCCACAAACCACTACCGCCCCATCACAACCAATAACATTAATCACCACCACTCGGCCCCGCCCACCACCCGGCCACGCCCACCACCCGGCCCCGCCCACCACCACCCAGACCCGCCCACAGACCTTCACCTTTCATCACTCAAGAGCAAAAAGACTTCTTCGACTTGCATTCTCTCTGAAAACAAAGCTGACTGACGCATGGAGGGTGCGTCCTGGTGCTGTGTGTGGCTCTTGTGGCGTAGTGACGCATGGAGGGTGCGTCCTGGTGCTGTGTGTGGCTCTTGTGGCGTAGTGACGCATGGAGGGTGCGTCCTGGTGCTGTGTGGTGCTCTTGTGGCGTAGTGACGCATGGAGGGTGCGTGCTGATGCTGTGTGTGGCTCTTGTGGCGTAGTGACGCATGGAGGGTGCGTGCTGGTGCTGTGTGTGGCTCTTGTGGCGTAGTGACGCATGGAGGGTGCGTCCTGGTGCTGTGTGGTGCTCTTGTGGCGTAGTGACGCATGGAGGGTGCGTGCTGGTGCTGTGTGTGGCTCTTGTGGCGTAGTGACGCATGGAGGGTGCGTCCTGGTGCTGTGTGTGGCTCTTGTGGCGTAGTGACGCATGGAGGGTGCGTGCTGGTGCTGTGTGTGGCTCTTGTGGCGTAGTGACGCATGGAGGGTGCGTCCTGGTGCTGTGTGGTGCTCTTGTGGCGTAGTGACGCATGGAGGGTGCGTCCTGGTGCTGTGTGTGGCTCTTGTGGCGTAGTGACGCATGGAGGGTGCGTCCTGGTGCTGTGTGTGGCTCTTGTGGCGTAGTGACGCATGGAGGGTGCGTCCTGGTGCTGTGTGTGGCTCTTGTGGCGTAGTGACGCATGGAGGGTGCGTCCTGGTGCTGTGTGGTGCTCTTGTGGCGTAGTGACGCATGGAGGGTGCGTCCTGGTGCTGTGTGTGGCTCTTGTGGCGTAGTGACGCATGGAGGGTGCGTCCTGGTGCTGTGTGTGGCTCTTGTGGCGTAGTGACGCATGGAGGGTGCGTCCTGGTGCTGTGTGTGGCTCTTGTGGCGTAGTGACGCATGGAGGGTGCGTGCTGGTGCTGTGTGTGGCTCTTGTGGCGTAGTGACGCATGGAGGGTGCGTCCTGGTGCTGTGTGGTGCTCTTGTGGCGTAGTGACGCATGGAGGGTGCGTCCTGGTGCTGTGTGTGGCTCTTGTGGCGTAGTGACGCATTGAGGGTGCGTCCTGGTGCTGTGTGTGGCTCTTGTGGCGTAGTGACGCATGGAGGGTGCGTCCTGGTGCTGTGTGTGGCTCTTGTGGCGTAGTGACGCATGGAGGGTGCGTCCTGGTGCTGTGTGGTGCTCTTGTGGCGTAGTGACGCATGGAGGGTGCGTCCTGGTGCTGTGTGTGGCTCTTGTGGCGTAGTGACGCATGGAGGGTGCGTCCTGGTGCTGTGTGTGGCTCTTGTGGCGTAGTGACGCATGGAGGGTGCGTCCTGGTGCTGTGTGTGGCTCTTGTGGCGTAGTGACGCATGGAGGGTGCGTGCTGGTGCTGTGTGGTGCTCTTGTGGCGTAGTGACGCATGGAGGGTGCGTCCTGGTGCTGTGTGGTGCTCTTGTGGCGTAGTGACGCATGGAGGGTGCGTGCTGGTGCTGTGTGGTGCTCTTGTGGCGTAGGGACGCATGGAGGGTGCGTCCTGGTGCTGTGTGTGGCTCTTGTGGCGTAGTGACGCATGGAGGGTGCGTCCTGGTGCTGTGTGTGGCTCTTGTGGCGTAGTGACGCATGGAGGGTGCGTCCTGGTGCTGTGTGGTGCTCTTGTGGCGTAGTGACGCATGGATGGTGCGTCCTGGTGCTGTGTGTGGCTCTTGTGGTGTAGTGACGCGAGGCGGGAAGCTCTCTGGTGCGGTGTGTGGCTCTTGTGGCGTAGTGACGCGAGGCGGGAAGCTCTCTGGTGCTGTGTGTGGCTCTTGTGGTGTAGTGACGCGAGGCGGGAAGCTCTCTGGTGCTGTGTGGTGCTCTTGTGGTGTAGTGACGCGAGGCGGGAAGCTCTCTGGTGCTGTGTGTGGCTCTTGTGGTGTAGTGACGCGAGGCGGGAAGCTCTCTGGTGCTGTGTGTGGCTCTTGTGGCGTAGTGACGCGAGGCGGGAAGCTCTCTGGTGCTGTGTGTGGCTCTTGTGGTGTAGTGACGCGAGGCGGGAAGCTCTCTGGTGCTGTGTGTGGCTCTTGTGGTGTAGTGACGCGAGGCGGGAAGCTCTCTGGTGCTGTGTGTGGCTCTTGTGGCGTAGTGACGCGAGGCGGGAAGCTCTCTGGTGCTGTGTGGTGCTCTTGTGGAGTAGTGACGCGAGGCGGGAAGCTCTCTGGTGCTGTGTGTGGCTCTTGTGGCGTAGTGACGCGAGGCGGGAAGCTCTCTGGTGCTGTGTGGTGCTCTTGTGGTGTAGTGACGCGAGGCGGGAAGCTCTCTGGTGCTGTGTGTGGCTCTTGTGGTGTAGTGACGCGAGGCGGGAAGCTCTCTGGTGCTGTGTGGTGCTCTTGTGGCGTAGTGACGCGAGGCGGGAAGCTCTCTGGTGCTGTGTGGTGCTCTTGTGGCGTAGTGACGCGAGGCGGGAAGCTCTCTGGTGCTGTGTGTGGCTCTTGTGGCGTAGTGACGCGAGGCGGGAAGCTCTCTGGTGCTGTGTGTGGCTCTTGTGGCGTAGTGACGCGAGGCGGGAAGCTCTCTGGTGCTGTGTGGTGCTCTTGTGGCGTAGTGACGCAAAGTGAGAAACTTGAGTTAGTGTGTGTGTGTGTGTGTGTGTGTGTGTGTGTGTGTGTGTGTGTGTGTGTGTGTGTGTGTGTGGTGACACCTGCCCTGGCTGGAGTAGACAGCTCTTCCTTACCCCCCCCCCCCACACGCCGTCAGAAGCACCTGCATCTTCCTTCTGTCTTCCAGAAGAGTGAATTGCCATTAGTGTCTTCCTCTCCACACATCTCGTACCCTTCAACTCCGGCACAGTTGGTGGCACGCCTCGGCCCTCCTCCCAGCACGCCCTCATAAAACTTAACAATTATTTACAAACTGTCCGTTTATATAATCACACACGAACTTAAAACTTGGCCAACATTATTGTCAATACTGTTAACTGTGAACGGTGACTAGTGTGATATACGGCCTTTATCTACACATCTATATATACTAGTTATATTCACGGTGGGTAACTTGATATATAGTGGTTAACCCCTTGACCTGCAAGCACCTTAAGGTCACACGCTTTATTAGAAACTTGGTGAACTTAAGAGGACTAGAAGGAGGCAAAGTGTAGATCAAAGGTAGGGAGTGTTGGAGGAGGTTGACCAGACCACACACTAGAAGTTGAAGGGACGACGACGTTTCGGTCTGTCCAGACCATTCTCAAGTCGATACAATCGACTTGAGAATGGTCCAGGACGGACCGAAACGTCGTCGTCCCTTCAACTTCTAGTGTGTGGTTTGGTCAACATACTTCAGCCACGTTATTGTGACTCATCGCCTGCAAAAGGTAGAGAGTGCAGGAGGAGGTCTTACCTGTGAGGTAGGATGCACGTGAGCCGCCAGGCAGGTGACACAGGCTAGGGCCACCCTCACCAGGCATCGCGTCGTACTCATCCTGGGAGAAAAACACACATTATAAACATGTATTGGTGGTGGACACTGACACACACACACAAATGGTTGACAAATGGAATGCATTAGGCAGTGATGTGGTGGAGGCTGACTCCATACACAGTTTCAAGTGTAGATATGATAGAGCCCAATAGGCTTAGGAACCTGTACACCAGTTGATTGACGGTTGAGAGGCGGGACCAAAGAGTCAGAGCTTAACCCTCGCAAGTAGAAATAGGTGAGTACACACACACATACACTCGCGAGCACTCACTCACATACATACACTCGCGAGCACTCACTCACTCACTCACACACACTCGCGAGCACTTAAGAGACAAGACGACACACACAGTTCCCCATGAATTAGTGTTGTGGACCGTCTTGCTGCTGGAGAAAAGGTCAGTGACACCATATTGTGAGGGACCACTGCCAGAGACCCTCCCAGGGACACCTTCACCCCCAGGGACCATCCCAGGGACACCACCCCAGAGACCATCCCAGGGACACCACCACCCCAGGGACCATCTCAGGGACACCACCACCCCAGGGACCATCCCAGGGACACCACCACCCCAGGGACCATCTCAGGGACACCACCACCCCAGGGACACCACCACCCCCAGGGACCATCAAAGGGACACCACCACCCCAGGGACCATCCCAGGGACACCACCACCCCAGGGACCATCCCAGGGACACCACCACTCCCAGGGACTATCCCAGGGACACCACCACCCCCAGGGACCCTCCCAGGGACCCTCCCAGGGACCCTCCCAGGGACATCTTCACAGCCTTGAAGGGGTCAGAAGGATCAAGGCACCAGGACCCTCTAAGTCCGGCCAGAAACATTAGCTGATCCACTCATGCACTCACACACTCATCATGCACTCACACTCATCACTGATCCACTCACAAGGTCACTACTACATCCCTGGTCTGTGTCCACCCCCCTGGTCTGTGTGTCCACCCCCCTGGTCTGTGTGTCCACCCCCCTGGTCTGTGTGTCCACCCCCCTGGTCTGTGTGTCCACCCCCCTGGTCTGTGTGTCCACCCCCTGGTCTGTGTGTCCACCCCCCTGGTCTGTGTGTCCACCCCCTGGTCTGTGTGTCCACCCCCCTGGTCTGTGTGTCCACCCCCCTGGTCTGTGTGTCCACCCCCCTGGTCTGTGTGTCCACCCCCCCTGGTCTGTGTGTCCACCCCCCTGGTCTGTGTGTCCACCCCCCTGGTCTGTGTGTCCACCCCCCTGGTCTGTGTGTCCACCCCCCTGGTCTGTGTGTCCACCCCCCTGGTCTGTGTGTCCACCCCCCTGGTCTGTGTGTCCACCCCCCTGGTCTGTGTGTCCACCCCCCTGGTCTGTGTGTCCACCCCCCCTGGTCTGTGTGTCCACCCCCCCTGGTCTGTGTGTCCACCCCCCTGGTCTGTGTGTCCACAACCTGGTCTGTGTGTCCACCCCCCTGGTCTGTGTCCACTGGGTGTGGGCGGAGAGGGTGGGGTGGGGGGGTTGAGGGCCAGGATGGTGGGTTGGGCTTCCATTCATTCAAGGAGATGACGTCAACTGTGTTTGACTCTGCTTGTTGGGGAGGAATTGTGGTGGTGGTGGTGGGCTGGTAGTGGCTCTAGTGGTGGTGGTGGTGGTGGGCTGGTAGTGGCTCTAGTGGTGGTGGTGGTGGGCTGGTGGTGGTGGGCTGGTGGTGGTGGGCTGGTGGTGGTGGGATGGTGGTGGTGGGCTGATAGTGGCTCTATGGTGGTGGTGGTTGTATTGGTGGGTTGGCAGCCCGGTCTCCAAAAATTGGGAGGTAAATGTAACAACTCCATAAATGCAATTATGTACTACGTATGGCAGTCAGGAATTGTACTTATTTTCACTTAGTATTAAATCTTACTGTCAAATATATTGTGAATATTTGAGTTTACCTAAAAAGCTGAATAGAAAACCACGACCTAACCTAACCGTCTTAGTTTTTGAAGATAATAATTTTATTGCTTCTTAATTACAATTACTACTTAACCTATAGCTGTATTGATATTACAGTTTTATAAAACTAATAAAACAAAACTAAAATATTTAAAAAAAAATGTAAAGCAACTCAGGCTATTTATAAATTTTGCATAAAAACTTTATTTTTCAATAAAACTGAAAAATAAATTCCTGATATTTAAAACTTGTGTATAGCGAACTGAACTTAAAACCTCATCCTAAACTTCTGAGTGTCTTAACAGAAAACGAGGAGAATAAATGGGGAAGAAAATGTAAGTCCCGTAAGTGCAATTATGTACTATTTATGACAGTCAGGAAATGTACTTATTACTCTTAGTATTAAACCGTACTGTCAATTCGGAGGATGGGTTGTGGGTTGGTCCCCTTCGCCCCCACGACTGGCAGAGTGGGGCCCCAGGACTAAGTACCAATATGTAGTGATGGACCACCACAAAGTACCAATATGTAGTGATGGACCACCAGAAAGTACCAGTATGTAGTGATGGACCACCACAAAGTACCAATATGTCGTGGTGGACCACCAGAAAGTACCAATATGTAGTGATGGGCAACCAGAAACTACCAATATGTAGTGATGGACCACCAACAAGTACCAACATGTAGTGATGGACCACCAGAAAGTACCACTATGTAGTGATGGACAACCAAAAACTACCACTATGTAGTGATGGACCACCAGAAAGTACCAACATGTAGTGATGGACCACCAGAAAGTACCAATATGTAGTGATGGACCACCAGAAAGTACCAATATGTAGTGATGGACCACCAGAAAGTACCAACATGTAGTGATGGACCACCAGAAAGTACCAATATGAAGTGATGGACCACCAGAAAGTACCAATATGAAGTGATGGGCCACCAGAAAGTACCAATATGTAGTGATGGACCACCAGAAAGTACCAATATGAAGTGATGGGCCACCAGAAAGTACCAATATGTAGTGATGGACCACCAGAAAGTACCAATATGAAGTGATGGGCCACCAGAAAGTACCAATATGTAGTGATGGACCACCAGAAAGTACCAACATGTAGTGATGGACCACCAGAAAGTACCAATATGTAGTGATGGACCACCAGAAAGTACCAATATGAAGTGATGGGCCACCAGAAAGTATCAATATGTAGTGATGGACCACCAGAAAGTACCAATATGAAGTGATGGGCCACCAGAAAGTACCAATATGTAGTGATGGACCACCAGAAAGTACCAATATGTAGTGATGGACCACCAGAAAGTACCAACATGTAGTGATGGACCACCAAAAAGTACCAATATGTAGTGATGGACCACCAGAAAGTACCAATATGTAGTGATGGAGCCTCCTGGAGCCGCCTCCTACCCAGCCTGACTCCTCATCAGCCTGTAATTGTATCAAGGTTTTCTTTTTGTCCATGTTTACTGAGCGAGAGATGAGCAGATAATTTCTTTTATCAAGACTTGTGTTGGAGTTTTGTTGTGGGTATTAAGAGTCGTCTTGGATCATGTGCAGGTTGGCATTGATGTCTCCAAGGAGGTGCTCGCCTTGTCGTCGCCACCAGCACCCTCACTATCACTGTCACCTTCCTCACTATCACCACTACAAGTGTCACCACACAACACCACCATCACCACACCATCACACTGGATATAAACGTCATCAAATGACCGTCATCGTAAGCCCAAAAGCCTAAGGTGTTTGCTGCGGGTGATGAGAGGCAGCCCAACATACACCCAACCAAGCACACTCACAAACACGTACCTAACAAACACTTACAACTATGCAACTCTCCCGTAACAATCAACAAACAATCCCAAACAATACATATATGATGTTTTCCATCTTGGCCGTTGTTATAGCTTTATTGTGTCCATATATATGGCGCCTTATTAATATATATTGAGATTTTGGTATATTGTTTCACATGTTCCGTACAACTATTATCTCACACACACCACATATATCATATACGCCACAAGCACCACCATATACGCCACAAACACCACCATATACGCCACAAACACCACCATATACGCCACAAACACCACCATATACGCCACAAACACCACCATATACGCCACAAACACCACCATATACGCCACAAACACCACCATATACGCCACAAACACCACCATATACGCCACAAACACCACCATATACACCACTATATACGCCACAAACATCACCATATACGCCACAAACACCACCATATACGCCACAAACACCACCATATACGCCACAAACACCACCATATACGCCACAAACACCACCATATACGCCACAAACACCACCATATACGCCACAAACACCACCATATACGCCACAAACACCACCATATACGCCACAAACACCACCATATACGCCACAAACACCACCATATACGCCACAAACACCACCATATGCACCACTATATACGCCACAAACACCACCATATACGCCACAAACACCACCATATACGCCACAAACACCACCATATACGCCACAAACACCACCATATACGCCACAAACACCACCATATACGCCACAAACATCACCATATACGCCACAAACACCACCATATACGCCACAAACACCACCATATACGCCACAAACACCACCATATACGCCACAAACACCACCATATACGCCACAAACACCACCATATACGCCACAAAACACGCCATATACGCCACAAACACCACCATATACGCCACAAACACCACCATATACGCCACAAACACCACCATATACGCCACAAACACCACCATATACGCCACAAACACCACCATATACGCCACAAACACCACCATATACGCCACCATATACGCCACAAACACCACCATATACACCACTATATACGCCATACACACCACCATATACGCCACAAACACCACCATATACGCCACAAACACCACCATATACGCCACAAACACCACCATATACGCCACAAACACCACCATATACGCCACAAACACCACCATATACACCACCATATACGCCACAAACACCACCATATACGCCACAAACACCACCATATACGCCACCATATACGCCACCACCATATACGCCACAAACACCACCATATACGCCACAAACACCACCATATACACCACCATATACGCCACAAACACCACCATATACGCCACAAACACACCATATACCATATACGCCACAAACACCACCATATACGCCACAAATACACCACACCACCATATACGCCACAAACACCACAAACACCACCATATACGCCACAAACACCACCATATACCACCATATACGCCACAAACACCACCATATACGCCACAAACACCACCATATACGCCACAAACACCACCATATACGCCACAAACACCACCATATACGCCACAAACACCACCATATACGCCACAAATACACCATATACGCCACACCACCATATACGCCACAAACACCACCATATACGCCACAAACACCACCATATACGCCACAAACACCACCATATACGCCACAAATACCACCATATACGCCACAAACACCACCATATACGCCACAAACACCACCATATACGCCACAAACACCACCATATACGCCACAAACACCACCATATACGCCACATATATACGCCACAAACACCACCATATACGCCACAAACACCACCATATACGCCACATACACCACCATATACACCACAAACACCACATATACACCACCATATACGCCACAAACACCACCATATACGCCACAAACACCACCATATACGCCACAAACACCACCATATACACCACTATATACACACCAATACACCACCATATACGCCACAAACACCACCATATACGCCACAAACACCACCATATACGCCACAAACACCACCATATACACCACCATATACGCCACAAACATATACGCCACAAACACCACCATATACGCCACAAACACCACCATATACGCCACAAACACCACCATATACGCCACAAACACCACCATATACGCCACAAACACCACCATATACGCCACAAACGCCACAAACACCACATATACGCCACAAACACCACCATATACGCCACAAACACCACCATATACGCCACAAACACCACCATATACGCCACAAACACCACCATATACGCCACAAACACCACCATATACGCCACAAACACCACCATATACGCCACAAACACCACCATATACGCCACAAACACCACCATATACACCACCATATACGCCAAACACCACCATATACGCCACAAACACCACCATATACGCCACAAACACCACCATATACGCCACAAACACCACCATATACGCCACAAACACCACCATATACGCCACAAACACCACCATATACGCCACAAACACCACCATATACGCCACAAACACCACCATATACGCCACAAACACCACCATATACGCCACAAACACCACCATATACGCCACAAACACCACCATATACGCCACAAACACCACCATATACGCCACAAACACCACCATATACGCCACAAACACCACCATATACGCCACAAACACCACCATATACGCCACAAACACCACCATATACGCCACAAACACCACCATATACGCCACAAACACCACCATATACGCCACAAACACCACCATATACGCCACAAACACCACCATATACGCCACAAACACCACCATATACGCCACAAACACCACCATATACGCCACAAACACCACCATATACGCCACAAACACCACCATATACGCCACAAACACCACCATATACGCCACAAACACCACCATATACGCCACAAACACCACCATATACGCCACAAACACCACCATATACGCCACAAACACCACCATATACGCCACAAACACCACCATATACGCCACAAACACCACCATATACGCCACAAACACCACCATATACGCCACAAACACCACCATATACGCCACAAACACCACCATATACGCCACAAACACCACCATATACACCACAAACACCACCATATACGCCACAAACACCACCATATACGCCACAAACACCACCATATACGCCACAAACACCACCATATACGCCACAAACACCACCATATACACCACAAACACCACCATATACGCCACAAACACCACCATATACGCCACAAACACCACCATATACGCCACAAACACCACCATATACGCCACAAACACCACCATATACGCCACAAACACCACCATATACGCCACAAACACCACCATATACGCCACAAACACCACCATATACGCCACAAACACCACCATATACACCACAAACACCACCATATACACCACAAACACCACCATATACGCCACAAACACCACCATATACACCACAAACACCACCATATACGCCACAAACACCACCATATACACCACAAACACCACCATATACGCCACAAACACCACCATATACGCCACAAACGCCACCATATACGCCACAAACACCACCATATACGCCACAAACACCACCATATACGCCACAAACACCACCATATACGCCACAAACGCCACCATATACGCCACAAACACCACCATATACGCCACAAACACCACCATATACACCACAAACACCACCATATACGCCACAAACACCACCATATACGCCACAAACACCACCATATACACCACAAACACCACCATATACGCCACAAACACCACCATATACGCCACAAACACCACCATATACGCCACAAACACCACCATATACGCCACAAACACCACCATATACGCCACAAACGCCACCATATACGCCACAAACACCACCATATACGCCACAAACACCACCATATACGCCACAAACACCACCACAAAGGTGTTGCTCACGAGAGAAGAAGCAATAAAAGATTGTGTCGTGTTTCCAAAGTTGGGTTAATTAGGCAAGGAGCAGAGGGTGGGTGGTGGGGCTCGAACTGTTGACTGTGTACACACACGTGGTGGTGAGGGTCAACCCTTACACAAGGGCTTCGCCTTAATTGATCTCTGTCAATCTCGGTAGCTTTGTCTGTCTCAAGTTTGTCCCTGTCTTAAATTTTTGTCTGAATTGTATTCGTTTCTTGCCTGTGGCATCTCTCATACAGGTGTATAGGACTCATGCAGGTGTATAGGACACTCATACAGGTGTATAGGACACTCATACAGGTGTATAGGACACTCATGCAGGTGTATAGGACTAATACAAGTGTGTCGTCTCTCACACAGGTGTATAGGACACTCATACAGGTGTATAGGACACTCATGCAGGTGTATAGGACACTCATGCAGGTGTATAGGACACTCATACAGGTGTGTCGTCTCTCATACAGGCGTATAGGACACTCATACAGGCGTATAGGACACTCATACAGGTGTATAGGACACTCATACAGGTGTATAGGACACTCATACAGGTGTATAGGACACTCATACAGGTGTATAGGACACTCGGTATATACTAACCTTGTGAGCGCCGTTGTAGAGCCGCCAACAATAAGATCCCAGCGAAGGTGTCGTAACACCGCCCCTCTGAAGGTGTGTGTGCGCGTGTGCGTGTGCGTATGCGTGTGCGTGTGTGCGTGTGCGTGTGCGTGTGCGTGTGCGTGTGCGTGTGCGTGTGCGTGTGCGTGCGTGTGTGTGTGTGTGTGTGAGACACAGCGAGTCTTATCTCCCTGTGGAAGAGGTATTGGAGCGAACACAAAACACTGATCACATCACGTTAATACACCGCCATACAACACTGACTCGGCCCGCTGCGGTATTCCGTCAGGGGCTGCGGAGTCCTGATTGCGTGAAAGGATAAGTGCGGGGGGGGGGGAAGGTTTGGTCACTGGCTAGGGACACTCCGGAGGACGTGAGGCTATCCCTGGCTAGCTTGCCGTGGCAGGAGGGACTAGGGAGCGTGTGCACTGCGTCAGGACTCCAGGGATGCACTGAGCTCTGCCACCAGCCGCCCGGACAGTTATAAGGGCGGGGAGGGTGAGGCTTTGGCTGTCCTCGAACCTGCCACACCAATAGAGGGAGCCACCACGCCAACACCGCGCCAAAACCTCCCCATACACACACCCTAAGAACCTCTCCAACACCACCCCAAGAACCTCTCCTACACCACCCCAAGAACCTCTCCAACACCACCCCAAGAACCTCTCCTACACCACCCCAAGAACCTCTCCTACACCACACCAAGAACCTCTCCTACACCACCCCAAGAACCTCTCCTACACCACCCCAAGAACCTCTCCTACACCACACCAAGAACCTCTCCTACACCACCCCAAGAACCTCTCCTACACCACCCCAAGAACCTCTCCTACACCACCCCAAGAACCTCTCCTACACCACACCAAGAACCTCTCCAACACCACCCCAAGAACCTCTCCTACACCACCCCAAGAACCTCTCCTACACCACACCAAGAACCTCTCCAACACCACCCCAAGAACCTCTCCTACACCACCCCAAGAACCTCTCCTACACCACACCAAGAACCTCTCCAACACCACACCAAGAACCTCTCCTACACCACACCAAGAACCTCTCCAACACCACACCAAGAACCTCTCCTACACCACCCCAAGAACCTCTCCTACACCACACCAAGAACCTCTCCTACACCACCCCAAGAACCTCTCCTACACCACCCCAAGAACCTCTCCTACACCACCCCAAGAACCTCTCCTACACCACACCAAGAACCTCTCCAACACCACACCAAGAACCTCTCCTACACCACCCCAAGAACCTCTCCAACACCACACCAAGAACCTCTCCTACACCACCCCAAGAACTTCTCCTACACCACACCAAGAACCTCTCCAACACCACCCCAAGAACCTCTCCTACACCACACCAAGAACCTCTCCTACACCACACCAAGAACCTCTCCTACACCACACCAAGAACCTCTCCAACACCACCCCAAGAACCTCTCCTACACCACCCCAAGAACCTCTCCTACACCACACCAAGAACCTCTCCAACACCACACCAAGAACCTCTCCTACACCACACCAAGAACCTCTCCAACACCACACCAAAAACCTCTCCTACACCACCCCAAGAACCTCTCCAACACCACACCAAGAACCTCTCCTACACCACCCCAAGAACCTCTCCTACACCACCCCAAGAACCTCTCCTACACCACCCCAAGAACCTCTCCTACACCACACCAAGAACCTCTCCAACACCACACCAAGAACCTCTCCTACACCACCCCAAGAACCTCTCCTACACCACCCCAAGAACCTCTCCTACACCACACCAAGAACCTCTCCAACACCACACCAAGAACCTCTCCTACACCACCCCAAGAACCTCTCCAACACCACACCAAGAACCTCTCCTACACCACCCCAAGAACCTCTCCTACACCACCCCAAGAACCTCTCCAACACCACACGAAGAACCTCTCCTACACCACCCCAAGAACCTCTCCTACACCACACCAAGAACCTCTCCTACACCACCGCCAAGAACAGACAGTAGTGACAGACAGACGGGTCCGAGCATCACCAGGCAGCTCATCTAGTAATCACTGTCTATAAGACAATGTCAGTCAGTGTTGGAGGCCAGAGGCTCGGGGCTAGCCTCACTCACCCATCACACAGTATGTGTGATCTCAGAACAGTATTTCAGAACTCTTTCTGAAAAAATTAAAGAATTTCCACATACATTAAAGCCTCCGTGGAGCACCACTCAGTCTCCACTGGGTCCCAGTTAGGAACTGCTGTGAGCGACTAATGTCTGGGACTCATTAGTGTCGTAGATGGTCAAATATGTCGGCAGTAGTCCAGTGTCGGGTAACTTGTGAGGCGAAGAGCTTGGGGAAGTGCAGAGGGAGAGGAGGGTGGAAGAGGGTGGGGAAAATATAGGGAAGGGTAGAGGAATGAGGGAAATGTGGAAAGGACTTTGCGGGACGGGGAATGAGGAATGGTGCGACACTGAGATGGGGGAGGTGGGTGGGAGTGGGAGTTGTGGGAGATGACCCACCAGCCTCCCACAGCCTGGGAGTCAGCTAGGCAGTGTCCCAGGGATGTTGATACCATGAACCACCACACCACGGCTCTCGCCACCACGGCTACACCACAACCATCCCTACCACCACACCACACCACCACACCACTCCAGCTGGACCAAAAGTACCACCAGTCTGTGTTCAACGTGCACAATAACAAGTTAAGAATGTCGTCATCATCGTAGCTGACTCGTAGCTCCAGGGATGTTCGTCACTCTCGTGGCTAAAGTAGACATTCTACCACACGTGAACAAGGACGGAGCAGCTCCCTCTCAGTAACATTTCAAGTTTTACCACAACATTAAGGTTCATAGACGCCTCTAACAACGTCTACCTTAACCACATTAACCATTTGGGTTTCATTCAACAGCTAATGCCACACTGGGAAGCAGTTCAGTAAAATTTTTGCTGGACACCGAACGACGACTTTGTGAAGTGGATGTTGGGTGTCTACACAACCTCCTCTCCACAAAGTGGTGACACAAGAGGTAACATTACTCTCTACAGTAACTTGTGGAGATTAACGGTCCTCTGTTGTTGTAACTAGCTGTGAAGAACGTCTTACTGGACCTGGCAGTTAAACCTTCACAGTAAAGTGGACTAAAGTCATTTCGGTTCTGAGGACCAGAGTGGCGTCGTGTCACTTACGGGTGGAAGTGTGTGTCCTTGAAGGAAAATGCCTGAAGATCGTTGACTAGGAGCCATCAGAGCACGGAGCCCTTGAATATCTCAGACTCTCCTTGACCAGGATCCGTCAGACCATATGATACAGTTCCTGACACAGTTTGTGTAAACTGTTGCGCTAGTCTCGCAGAGAGATGGCCCGCCGTTGAACTTCTTCCGTTCAGCGAGTAACTAGACTGTTGTGATCCCGTTGTTCAGCTGGCCGCCGGTCCTGCCTCCCACAAGTCGTGTATGTGGCTTCAGCACTCACATGGCGGCCAGCACCCAGCCAAGGACGCTGAGTAATGTGCATGTGCTGGAGATCGAGGCTGTCAACAGAAAGACATTGTTATGGACGCCCTTGGAGAACTGCGTCCCATTCACTGACTGCAAGATCTAGGCGAAGACCGCACCAGCTTCCCTTTGACGATAGCTAGTGTATGTGTATGCTTGTATATATATATATATGTATGTACAACATGTATTTATGTGTAGTAAGGGCAGCATAGTGGTTGGTGAACCGACGTGTCAGGTCAGCCAGTAATTGTCTTCAAACAGGTCAATAACGACTGGATTGATGGAAGCCATGCAGATGTGTAGAAGAAAGAGTCAACCCGTTCTCGCACTTTCTTACAGTCAATATTGACTTATTAAATAAGTGCATATGTGACTTAACCTATTATAGGTATAGATTAAGTAATAATTGTAATTACGAAGCAATAAGATGCTTATCTTAACATACTAAGAAGGTTAGGTGAGGTCGGTGTTTTCTATGAAGCTTTTCAAGGTAAACTAAAATATTAACAATAAATTAGTATGTCACATATGCACTTATTTAATAAGTCAATATTGACTGTAAGAAAGTGCGAGAACGGGTTGCAAGAGTTGAGTTGATCAGCACTCCGCCTCTGAAGACTGCCTATGGCATACCTCGGTGACCTTAGGCTTTATGAATAACCTAACACATACTACATACATGTAGGGAGCGACACTACCACTAGCCTAGGCTTTGTTTAGCTGTCTCCCTCTGTCTGTCTGTCTCTCTCAAACCTGTTATCTAGGTGTGACCAAACAGACAACACATTTAACACACACAAATTTTCCTTATTTATATTCCACCACCACCAAGGTAGATGAAGCAGGTACAGTAACTTGTATAAGAGCTGACTTGTTCCTAGTAGCGTGTATAACTGTAGACTTGTATAGTTGTATCTTGTGGCTTGTTCCAAGTGACTTCTTCCCAGTAACTTGTATCATGCGGCTTGTTCCGTTCGAGACTGTTCAAGTGCCACATCACCGTGGCACTACCAGGCATTACGGTGATGACATGAACATGGTGTACACACACACATACATAGTGTACACACACATACATAGTGTACACACACATACATAGTGTACACACACACATGGGCATGAATGAGCGTATGAACCACTTCTCAACCTTACACAAGGCGATGCCGTCCAAGAGAGGGTCCACGAGGACAGGGTACAGAACCCGCGTCATTACTGCCTATATATCCCTCACGTTACGTGTGCCTGGACCCTTGTGTACACTAGTTGGTGTTGTTAGTGTGACGGCCTAACTGTCCCATGGCCTGGACCACGGGTCTGGTGCCAGCGGCTTGTTACAAGGGACATGACAGTTGCATGACGCAACAGCTTGTTCCAGGTTACGTACAAGAGACATGACACAGTTGCATGACGGAACAGCTTGTTCCAGGTTACGTACCAAAAGTGGTTTGTGAACGCAAGTCCGTCCAGGAAGGTTTTGTAGGTGATGTGTCCGGATGTCTCGTTCCAAGGGATTGAGTGTTCCAAACAGCGTAGTTGTGTCTCCTGTATACCTGCCGCCCGTCTCGAGTTGGTGGCTTATTAAATGTTGTATTCACACCGCCGCCTCATTACCATTTATTATCATTATGAGAAGGACAAGTCGATAAAAGATTACAAACTTGTCAGTTTTGACGAATATCATTGACAATTATTAACTATGAAGCCTTACCTTCAATATTAATCATTAAATATACAATACTCTTCCACCTTCTCTAACTCCTCTTGCCTCTCCTGCACCTCCTCCTCCTGCCTCTTCCTCATGACCAAGCACAAAATACCTCCCACCTAATTGCTAAACGATTGTTATACAGCTTTTCTGGGAGAGGGAGGAGCAGGTCCCGTCCCACCGTGGGAGAGAGGAGACTACGGGACACACCAACACACACACCTCTTACCTTCCCAGGAAGC